TCAATTGTCCTTCCCGCACGGGCAATGGTAGAGAGGATTGATGATCGGAAGTTCCCATCAATAATCAATGGATCAGAGGAGTAATCAATAACAACCTTCTCTTCTTCATCCATAGGTGTAACGTTTTTGCTCAAAGGAAAAATGGAGAGAAAAAAAACAGAGAGAGAAAATGAGCAGAACACAGAAAATGATCATTGATTTCTCCTTTTATGCAAAACAAACACTAGCTTTCGGGAGAGGGGAAGAGTAGTTTACCAAACTACAAGTAGCTTAATTTTAGCCCCTACTCAAGTGTTTATACTGACAGAAGGTTAACAAAAAGCTACCTAACCAAAGGTTAAATTACATCAAAAAAGTCAGACACTGAATTGTTGCAGCATGTGGTGGCACAGTGCTTCGAAAACTACAAAAATCTGAACTTTATTCAACACTCCTCCTTGGCATCCAGGCTGCAAACGCCAAGCTTGTTTCTAAGAGCTTCAAATCTGATCTTCTGTAAGCCCTTAGTGAAAATATCAGCAACATTTTCTTCAGAGGAACAGTGCACCATAACAATATCACCATCATTTTCTGCAACTCTAACAATATGATACTTTAATTTAAAATGTTTTGTCTTTCCATGAAAGACTGGATTTTTAGCAATAGCAACTGCAGCTTTGCTATCACACAACATTTCAGTAGGATTGGATTGAGCATGATGAACATCAACCAACAATTTTCTTAACCAAATAGCCTGATCCACAGCAGTTGCAGCAGCTATATATTCAGCTTCTGCAGTGGAATGTGCAAGTGCATTTTGCTTTTGAGAACACCAGCTTATAACACCTGATCCGAGAGTGAAACAAAAACCAGTGGTGCTTTTCATATCATCCTCAGACCCTGCCCAATCACTGTCACAAAAGCCAAGTAACTTAATTTTCTCAGCTCTAGGATAGAAAACACCAAAACCAGCAGTTGCCTTCAAATATCTGAATATTCTTTTAACACCCTTGAGATGAACTTCAGTAGGTGAATGCATAAACCTTAAAAGCAAACTAACAACATGCATTATATCAGGTCTGGTAGCAGATAAATATAGAAGGCTGCCAATCATACTTCTATATACCCCTGCATCAACATTTGTTGAACCATCAATGGCTTGCTATTTAACTCCTGACACAGAAGGAGTACTAATTGGCATGCAGTTTGACATAGCAAATTTGCTCAAAATCTCACCCGTAAAATTTCTTTGGCAAATAAAAATGCCTTTGCTGGACTGATCAATCTCCATACCAAGAAAATATGTCATTTTGCCTAGATCATTCATGTCAAAAATCTGCAGCATGTCAATCTTGAACTGATTCAAAGCAGCTTCATCATTTCCTGTGACCAGCAAATCATCAACATATATGGAGACTATAACAAGTACTCCATTCTTCTTTTTCACATAAAGAGTAG